TCCACTCCTGTCCCTGCCCTTTCTGCTCTGCTCTTGTCTTCAAAAGCCACCAGCGCTGAGATTTTCCCTTTCCTCCTGGGGCACGAGTGTGGTTTAACAGCTCCCCATGTTGATGCTGGCACAAACACGCTGCAGGGGCTCAGGGGCAAAGCCCAGTTGATGCCTCCCTAATTCAGGCCTTAGAAGCCATCAGCACGGACACATTGAAGAGGTACTCTGTTACGGTGACTGTCAGCCCGTGTTGTTTAGGCAGCGCTGGCACATCACAGGCATAGCTTACATATTCAGAATTTTCTTAAAATCATTATATGGCCTGCTCTTTAAAGCATAGTTGCTTTCTAAAATAAACCTAGGAAAACTAGCATTGCGATATTCAACTCACTGTCAGCAATTCTAGATCAGCTGTCACCAAACCAGTGCTTTCCCAATGGCTTTTCCCACCTGCCAGCCCCAAAGCTCAGTTTGGGACAGGAGGGTCAGCATGGGATCTCCTTTGGCTCACCCATCACCACCAGGAATGATGCATGCTCAATGCATCCAAGGAGAGACAATTCTGACTGTAATAAGTGGCAAACCCTCACACATCACCTTCAGTAATTTCTCATCCACGCTTTTGGGTGAGTTGCTGTTAACACACGATGGGGAGCAGCCCTGTGCAGTTGGGTGTTGGGGCTTCCACACTGACCACCAACAGGCTCCCAGCACCCACGCAGCACAGAATTACCCACACATCCTTACTGGCACCATCAAAATCACTACCTTGAGCCAGTTGTTATAAATAGCGTGCGTGGAGGGGAAAACAGGATCTTGTAATTGATTATTTAGTGCAAAAAAAGGAGGAAAATTAACACAGGTGGTGATGGCAGATGTGACAGCCCAGGATACTTGGCAAAATATGGAGCATATTTGATTAGTGATATGGATGCTTCTATGGCATTGGAGGCTTCACTTCTGTTAAACCCTTTAAGTAGGGTTGTACATAATAAAAAACTAAATGGGAGTTAGAGTTTTTGGTTTTGATACTTAAATCATTGTGAACAATTGCAGATTCTGTATGATATTAGCTAGCAAAGTAAGGCTATAAAATTCTTTCAGTAAAACAGTGACAGCAATTAGATGCTTAAAAACTGACCATCCCTGTCAGATCTCAAAATGGATGCATGGCCACATGAAAGGCAGCAGCCATACATATTATGTCATGGCACTGGGCCAAAGATATTATATTTCCAAGCAGTGATTCTAAAGGATATGATTACAGTTAATTAGAAAATGCTAATTATGATTTTTTTCCTCTTCCCCATTATTCTAATATTTTTGCCTGGTGAAGGTCTGGGGAAAAGCTGGAGATGTGCTGGGTGGGAAACCACCCCTCCACGGTTTGGTGCAGGGAAAAGATGTGCAGGGACATGCTGCTGGGCATGCACTGCCCTGTGCAATGCAGGATCAGCACCACTTACATCCTTAAAACCACAGGTCCCTCCCCAGAATTGCACCCCCTCGCAGGACCTGCATTTGCAGAGATGTTTTGGCACTTCCTCATCATAGCACGATTCCTACTGCCTGTTTGCAAGCCAGGCAAAACCCATGCTGCTTCTTTCCCTGCAGACCTGAGTGGGGGGGAACAAAACAAAGCCCCCTTTATGGTAACAAACCCAGTACAGAGACAGGTACTAAAAGCATGCTACTGTATTTTGGGGCCAAGGAAACCTTCCCATACAGCCCTCAACATAAACCTTGAAGGCATCTACCTTCCTTCATGAAATTCCTGCACATTATTTTGCACATTTAATAAGAGAAAATATGAAGAGAAATAGTTGTTCAACCTTCCATGGGATGCATGGATGATGATGAATTATTGGGCAGAATGACTGTACAACTTAATTGCTCTCAGTAACAAGCCTCTTGGAGGCTGGTTTCTCCAGACTAATTTATCCTACACTTTTTATGCATCTGCAAGTAAAAGTAATCAGGAAAGGTGTGTCCATAACACAAGTCCCCTGCACAACACCAGTGCAATTGCTCCCCCAAGGAGGCTTTACTGATGTGCACGGGGCATCCTGCAAACAGGAGAGGGGCTGGAGCAGGGGGACAGGAGCATGGTGAGGTGTTGAAATGAGGGACTGAGGGCCCCACGCTGCGCTCACCAGCTTCATCTGTCTCTGCCACTGTTAAGAGCAAACAAATTGTTCCTCATATAGCTCCAGCTTCACCCTTCACCTCCTGAAAGATCATGGAAGAAATATGCCACCAGTACCCGGGAAAACTCCCACAGCGGTTTGTCCGTGCTAGGTTCAGCATTTTATTTTTCCTCGCTGAAATATAGTCCAAATATGAGCCCTTTCCTCATACAAATCTTCTACAAATCTCCCTTTGTTCGGAGCCTTTAGACAAAACAGAAAATTTAATACTGTAAATCTCCAGGGAGAGAGGGAAGGTGGAACGGTCAGAAACTGGCAGAAAAAGGTGTTTCCAGGCCACGTCCCCAGGCCTGTGACCCCATTGCCACCAAGAGCTGCCCACCTGGCCTTGAAGGGCACCACTGAGCAGGACGGACAGACAGGGATGGACAGACCATACACCTGCAATAACCTCCTGATACACCACTGGTCTGGGCATCAGACTACAGCCAGCACTGAAGCAGTGTTCCTGTTGCAATGAACAGTAATTAAATGCAATATTTCTGTTAAAAAAAAAAGCCTAGGAGCCATCCCATCCCTTTCAAGCAACCAGGATGCTTTTCTTTTATGCTTGTTTTTGTTTGCGTGACACAAACTTGCATTCTCTAGCCTAATTCTAGCATTCTGTTGGTTTTTAATTTAAAATCACTTTGGTTGGTGAAGAAGTTGGAAAGGAAAGTTATACTTCTAATCTTTCACATGATTTTAGCAACCTTGTGTAGTATTGGCCCCTTGCAGAGTCATCTTCTGACTTGCTGTAAGCTTCTCCTTCTGGAGAGAAATAAAGGAGCCAAAATTTCTCATATTTACAGTATCACTCATTTGACCCTAACTGTGCTTTGTTTTATTGAATATACTGTTTACAAACAAACACCCGTACTCCAACCCACCACTCACACCCAGCAGGGAAAACCACCCTTCGTGTTGACACCAATGCTTCTTCAGTGAAACAACAACAGATGCTTTCAGACCCCAGCCTTCCCCACAGTTCCTCCCCAGTTTAAGTCCCAGTTGCACAGGGACATTTGGCCAAGCTTGTCCCCATCCTCACCCCAGCATGAGCCACCTCCAAGCCCTGCCTGGGGTACCCCACACTGGTTTCACAGGTGGGAGAGGAAGGTACCTCCTGGAAATCAGTGACCACACAGCTCCAGGACATCCTTTATCCTAGGAGCCACAGGGCAAGGTAATGATGTAAAGGGTAAGAATGAGAGGGAAATAAATATTACAAGGGCTGCAGTGCCACATTAACTAGTACGTCTCCATTTACCTAAGCACGTCTGGAAGCTACTGCGAAGACTACGTATGTTTACTACACCACCACCCTTTCTCCTCTCAGCCTTATTCCTGCTAATACCTCAGTTCCCAACTCCCTCTCATCCTTGCACAACCACACATTCAACAGGAAAGCACTGATGCAAAAAGCAATCTGTGATTTTTGAGCAATTTGTTGTATTTTCTGAGTACTAAATCGATTCCCTGTATATAGGAACTATCACATTTTCACCATTCACCAGGAATGAATATCTAACTGTAATCAAATCAGTGCTTCAGCTGCTACCAGTGTCCACAAGGTACTGTGAGCAGCAGTTAACATGTCAGGCAAGTTGAACTCAACCATCCACATATCAGTTCTGGTTAACTTTCCTTTGCTATGCCCACCATGAATACCCTTAAATACGGCATTTGCAGTGTGCCCATAACTCAGTACTCCTAATTTAGAGGTAGCAACAGCTGCTAGATAAATCTATGTAGCAAAGGCAAAAATATTGCTCTAAATTCAAACTCTTTTTCCTGATCCTTCTTAAGGATTTCATGCAGGAAGAAGAAAAATAAAAGGCTGTTCCCCCTGTTCTTCCTAGGTTACCCTTAGCCAACCTTTGGATGGATTAGCTGGAGTAACACATACCAGCCTGGATACTGATGTTTTCTGAGACAAATTCTTGATTGATTTGTTGCACAGCCATTTCCACTGATTTTTCCTGTCACGAAGTTTGGGGGCCCTGTACCTGCAGCACAGCCGAGGATGATTCCCCAGGGACAGGCAGTGGAACACCAGGCAGAGCAAGGCCATTAACAAACCACTGCCAGGAAGCCTCCAAAGGATTGAAGCTGGAAGGTGTTTTCAGAAATGTAACGCAAGGCTTTCCAGGATAAAAATATTTTGTTATAAAGTGTCCACATTGAAGTGATCCATGTAAGAAATTCTAAAATATTTCTGGTTTTCTTAAAGCAGACTCCAACTTTTAGTGTCAAAGTGGCATTTTTTAAACATAAAAGAGAATAAATAGAGATGAAAACAGCTAAATGCAAAGCTTAAATAACACAAGACCAAAACCTGTTTCTGAGGGCTTATAACTACATTTTTATGTGTGTTCTTTCCTTATTGCTGAAGTGAATGCAATTGTGTTTGCGTGTACCATGTCTGAAACAGGCTCAAAAATTTTAATATGGAATAGGCACACCTCAAAGCTCCCCTGCTGCTGGCTGCAAGCAGAACTGAGAAGAAAGTTGGCAAGAAAAATATTTGCAAAATACTTTAATGGTTGCCAATTTTCATGGTGTTATAGCAAACCTGACCATGGCCAGAGATTTTCTTGAAGCCTCGGCTTTCACAAGCAGAGATGAGAAGAAACCAGTGACTAACTGAGAATCAGAGCTCTTCCTCAGATAAGCAAGAAGAGTCACTAGTCCACATAGCTGCAAATTTCTTAAAAATATGTTCCAGCTACAATATATAGACTCAAACAAAGCAAAGTAAAAATAAGTTCATTGTTAGAAACTCAAATTTTTTAATGAATTATTTTTGACCAAAAAAAAAAAATGATGCCAAAGATAACAGTTGCTTGGTCAAAAAGGTAGTCCCTAGGAACCAGAAACCAAGGATTTAAGTCCCTTTGTATCACTTTCTACACACAAGGATCACTCTCTACTAGAGATCTTGGGGCTTTCATCATCAGTGGGGAGGCGGAAAGGGAAAGGCAGGGCGAGGGCTTTCCCAGAGGGAAGGGATGTGCCTGGGACAATTGGAAGAGGAAGCCTTTGTCTGTTCCTGTCCTCCCCACCACCTTTGGAAGTAGCAGTGGCAAGAGACTGGACTCGCATCTCATCGCTGGCTGCCCAAATCCCCACTGGAGGCACCGCACCTCAGAGTTACCTGCATGAATTACAAGGATTAAATCATCCCAAACCGCAGCCAAGGAGTCACCAGCTACTAAATACTGAATTTGAGTGGAGAAGCACAGTTAGTCTGAAATAATCAATAGTTGGAAAAAAAATAAGTTTTCAGACAATTTCAAATGCTGAGCATCTTTATCCAGAAGTTTTCTTAATCCCACACAGCATCATGGGGTTGAGGCAAGGGCTGTGCTGTGCCTCTTATAGCAGTCACAGCCTCCTGCTCATGCTGCTGCCTGTCCATGCAACATGGCTCTGGAGCTGGACACCAAAACTGCCTGATTCCTCTGCACTACAAGGCTGACTCTTCAAATAACTTCACTAAAACATCTTACCCTCCTCCATTCCAGGTCTGTCATGGAAACCTCCAATTCCCAGGACCACAGGGGTTTGCAGGACATGGTGGCAGCAGTGCATGGAGCAGGCATGGGGCCAGACAAGACCTAGCAGTCACTGCCTGCAGCCTCACCCTCCATCAGTCCACTAAAAAAGAGTCAGGATAGGTGGTGCTCACCAGGACATGCTGCAAAGTGCATGAAAAAACATGGGAAATCGTACATCCGCAGGGAAGTGGTGTAATAAATGTTTAAGGACTGCTCTCACCATCCCGCTCTCTCCCATCAAATTGAGGTCTTGCTTCGGTTTGTCACTGAGTTTGTCTGCTCCAAAACTGCGGTTGTCTCATTGCATTTGTGAGGTCAGGCGAAACCCTCATGTGTTTATACATCCTGCACCAGAGACATGCTGCCATGTGATTTGCCTCAAATCCTCTGCAGTCCTTTTCCCTCAGTCTTTTTCCTCTGCAGCAAGCACAGAACGCATTTTTAGCAAGTATTTCTATTTTCAGTTCAGTTTGCACTGAGCCAGTCTGATGACTTCATTCAAAATACAAGTAGAAGAGTATTTTTGGAAATGCCTTTTGCAACTTTTACCTATTGCATTGGGCTCCTCATTGTTAGGCAGAGAACAGGGTTTGTATAATATAAAAAGCACAGCCCAAGAATGGGAGCACAAACTGGAGCTGCTCATCCCACCCACCACCAAATCATGCCCATGAGCACCACATCCATGTGTCTCCAGGGATACCAACTCCATCAGTTCCCTGGGCAGCCCCTTCCAGAGCTTCACCATCCTTGGACAGAAGAAATTCTTCCTGGTGTCCAATCTAAGCCTCCCCTAGTGCAACTCAAAACCATTTCTTTACATCCTATCATTTGCGACCTGAGATTTATCCTTATCACCTGAGAATTATATATCAATTATCTCTATTTAAAGCATAAGAGCACCCCTAACAGACATCCTTATACCCTTCTAGCAGTGGCCACAAGCTCCGGATTGCAGCTGTAAATGTTGAAACACAGCCAAGGTTACAAGTATCTAAGAACCATTTACCTGCTGATAGCCATGTGAAGTGAGCTAAGAGCTTCAGATCTGTTTAAGCAAGAACCTGAGTGGTGAAAACAACTGAAACCACTGAGACAGTTGGCACGCCTGGCTGGAAACATCAGAAGAGAGGTCAGAAATGGGCAATCTCCCCATTTCTGTTCTAGATCCCTAACTCTCAAAGGAGCCATGACAGATAACTTATTCATTCATCCTCTAACAGAAGAAGACCAACTGCTAAGCCACAAAAATGAGGTAAACAATTTCTGAACCTACTAAATATATATAAAAACATCTATCATCAGGTTTGAAGTTTGCCTAAAAGGTCACAATCTATCTGGTGAACATGGAATACAACTTTTGACTTGTGTGCAAGAATAATCAACACTTGGAGCAAGTTACATATGATGGAGAACAGAGAACCATCAAAAGACCAGGAACATTTGATCAATAGGAACATTTAATACTCCAGAAAAAAAAGTGAGATTTAAATGCTCAGCAATTATCTGTGTAATAAGGTTAAGTGTTGAGAAACTAATTATAAATACTGCAGTATGCATTCATGTGTGTTCATGCTCATGTAATATTTTAATCTCAAAATGTCATGACACACTTTAATTAAAACATTTATTTATTGACAATTAGAGCTATTCAAATAGTGCCTACTTTTCAGTACCTTCAGCAGTGAATGACAGATCAGGAACAGAAGTAGAAACAGCTCAGGTGTGATGCGTCGATTCTTTTTGATACATGCTACATGCTATTTCCTTTTCTTTAAGAGCTTCTTTTTTTTAAGGCTGTCTCTCCAGAACAATAAAATTTGCTCTGCAGAGAGTGATACAGTAATGATCCTCCACAGCCACTAAATAATACATGCTTCCCCTTTACTTACTGTATAATTTTTGGCGTTTCTTCCTCCTTTGCCAGATATATATATAAGGAGGATTCATGCCAGCTTTGCATTTGTTCATCAGACCAAATACAAGAGCTAAGACAAACTTTCCATAACTCTCATGAATCTTTTTCCAGGTCAAGCTCACCACTCACAGCCAGTTCTTCCAGGACAAAGTGGGCAGAAGGAAAAGCTCCTTTGGAGAACACAGAGCAGGACCTATGAAAAACATGATCACTCCTCTGTGCAGCCCTCCTTAGATCTTGTTGGTGGGAAACAGTAGGTGGATGGTGGAAAACATAGGGTTTGGAGCAGACACCATTCCCTGGGAGCAGCCCCACAGCCCATGCAGCTGCTCCTTGTCTGGGACTACAGAGTCTTGCCCATACAGCAGCTGAAACTCCTGGCTGAAACTTCTAAATCATTCACAAATCTGAAGCCCTATCTCTCCATCTCCATCTGAGCAGGCTATTTGTAGAGGGTTGGTTTTATTCACCCCAATTTAGCTTGGTAAAGGGAACAGCTTTGAGACAAACCAGAAGAACCAGACTGAGTCTGGAAAGAAGCTTCTGTAAGGGGGCCACACAACCCTTGCTGCTTTCCCTTCAACTGGCTTTCTTTGTGAATTTTCTCCCTTTCTCCAAATGAGAATCTCTTCTAGATTTTCCTCCTGACCACATAAAGGAATAACTTTGACATTTAGCAGCAAACTAACCAAAATAGCTTAAATACTACATACAAAATAACATAGTTTAGTCATTTTTTAGATATAAACATGGGAAAAGGGAGGAAATATCAGATTTTGCAAGATTTTTCCCAGTTAACATCTTAAGGATGCTTAAAACAGCCTCAAGATAGAAACATATATATATATATATCATGAGGCCACTAACAAGCAGACTTGAAACCCAGCATATACATGGAAGAACCCTCTCTGATCCTCACAGAGGCAAAAAGTTGACCTCAATATCATTTCCCATAACTTGAGGCCACAAACCAAAATTCAGTTTGTGGGGGTGGAAAAATAATAAAATACTCTTTTCCAACTTAAAAAAAAAAAAAAAAAAAGTTTCCTCATAAACCAGAAAAAGGAGCAATAAGTTAATATGTACTCTACCTCTTGCACACAAAAGCCTCCCCAGCAGCATCTAAGTTCTACCAGTTCAATACCTGGGTGTGTTCCCCTCTATTTAAAGATTTGTTGCCCCTAATTAAGCCATCTGCTAGTTCACACTCCAGCCATACCTAGTCAATTAGGGTAACGAGCAGGTCCTACCTCTTGCTCTGCACAGCAGCAGGTCTGCTGCCTCCAGAGAGACTCATTGCCCTCTGTTGGGAATTAGTGCACCGCATGGCACAAAGTGAGCATCCGCTATGAGGGAAGTGGCACCCAAAGTATTCATCTCCACATTGTTTCTGAAGGGATCACTGGCAGCAAGTGTTAGATCAGCAGATCCAGAAAACGTATCTAAAACACTGGTATAAACAGCACAGTTAAAGTCTAGTGGGCAAATGAGCTTCTCGTAACAAAACCAGTATTTATGACATGTAGTTGTCTTCAGATATTTAGGAAGTGCTAATTGCAACCCTGCATCAGCCTTACAGAGGCAAAAACCCTGGAACTAGCAGTTGCACAAAAATCTGGAATGAATAAAATTTCCTCTAAACCCATAATATTTTTCTGACGACAGAATTTTATCAGTTCAAAAACTTGATTTTCTTTACTTGTTTCATTGTTGTTAGGTTTTTGTATTGTGACACATTAGCTTGGCATAGTGAATAACCCATTGGTTAGCAGTGTTCATGGAGGATTACTAATATAAAATAAACTTTTGGTCCCAGTGCTACAATTGCAGATAAAGTGCAGATAAAGTGCATCTGGGTCCAAATATACATATATGTGTGTGTGTGTATATATATATATAATTTTTTATTTTTATTTTTTGAAAAGTTAGATGGGAATTTCATTCATTTAAAAAAAAAAAAAATCTACTTTTGGATAATGAGTTTTTTACTCCTTATATCATTCTTTGTTTTACATGTCCCCATCTTTTAAGTGGTTATTGGCCGGGTGCCTTGGTGGTGGCCACATGGGAAGCCCCCCAGCAGCAGCCCCCACCCTTCGCCCTGCCTCCCTCGCACCTCCGTCAGGAGAGGCAGTGGTGTGACCTTCATCACAAATTCAAGTTTTGCTCTGTAGGGAAAACATCTATGAAGCTATAGAGCTATTCTGGGGTAAACGATAGACTATAACTTCCCAGTGACTTGTATCTCAGCCAAACTTGTCCTAATTAGGGAACAGGTAATTGTATTTGCTTGAGAGGCGATGGTTGTGTTAAAAGGCCAGAAATATAACTTTCTGCGGTTGCTGCAAGCCATTCTCCTCTTCTCCTCCTGCTCTCCCAGAGAAAACTTGGGAAGCCATAAAACAGGCGTATAAGTGGAACATATGCGCATTCCCAAGGCCCAAAAGGGGTTTTTCTCCAAGATGATCACAGGTCCACTGTGTACCTGGCAGCAAAAACGTGCAAAGGGAGTGCAACGCTGTAGAAGCCTCTAAAGGCATCAAGGAGAAAAGCAGCAGTTTTCCAGGATGATTGGCAAGAGGTCGGTTCTCTTCAAGCTGTTGCCAAGGACTAGGACATAATTAGATGTCAGGCACAATTCAGCGACTGCCACCCGCTCCCTGCACCACTCCAGTGCCGGGCTCGTGGCTGGGGATCGTTAGGAGCACCGCACAGGCATGGGCTGGGAAATTCTGCCTGTAGGCACTAATTTTAAACTGCTCTCACCGATCCCGTGTCCAGGGGGTAGACATGCAGAATTTAGGGCAAGGGTAAAAAAAATAAATAAATAGAACGTGGGGGAGAGAGAGAGAAGCATGTAGGATATGTTAATTTTTGAGCTTCACAAGGGGGGAGATGAGAAGGTTACACCATAGCTGCTTGTAACAGTGCAGCAATGCTTATAGATAGGGTTTGTAAATCTGTTTGTTATCCACGTAGTATTTTGCCAAGGAATCTGCTTCCATGTGCATAACATGCAGCAAGAGGTGAGGTGCTTGAGATATGGCGTTTCCTAAAGGCAGGTAATATTACTTTTTGAGAAAACTCTTGAGTCTTACCAGCGTGAAAGGACAGGTGGTGAATAGTACCTAAAATCTGGCTACAAAAGTTTACTTTAAAATATGAATGAAAATTATGATGCAGCCCATGCTCTCCTCCTGGCTTTATTTCACGTTAGTGTCTCTGCAGTCACCAGTGAGAAATTTCTCTCCAGGTATTCCCCAGATGAGTGACTTGGTTGGGACCTACAGCTTTTGACCCTTCTGCAAGTGCAAAGTCTTCCCACAGCAGGAATATGATGTCTTGTCTTCTCTTCATTACACCATACAGCACTGTGTGCAACCCACTGACAGCTCGTGCTGGTGCCTAAACTGCATCTCTTGTACAGAAGGAATGACACAAGACCCTACATTTCTCTTTATTTGCATCGTGCAAGTGGTAGCAAAACCCTCAGCTCCTCCTTTTGCAGTCCACCTCAGTGACAATAATTATGACTTGGCTGAAGGTTCGCCTGAGGTTACTTGATCTTTGCCCTGTTTTAATAGATGTTTGAACTTCTGATAAAAGATATCTGGGGTAATCCCCCCGCCAGCGATCTCCAGAGCTATCTGTGCAGACTGGGGCTCCTGCTGTACTGTTCCAGGTAATATTAGCCCCAACAAGGATTAGACTCCATTTAAATTCAAATGAAGAGATTATTAAAGACCCCGTTCTGTGGGGAAATGGAAACAGGAATTTCAGCCCCACTGAAAGATGTGTTTGCCGAGAGCGCACAGGACACAGAGCCAGGAGACCTGCAGTGCCTGCTGCCTGGCTGTGTGACCTGAGGGAACAAGAAAAAAGAAAAGGAAAAAAAAAAAAAAAAAAAGACCTTTTCTCTGCCCTGTCCTGATTTTGTCACTGATTACAAATCAGTGGGTATAACTCCACTTCCTTTTGTGCGGGCTAGATGTCCACAGCACTGTGGGCAGGAGGCAGCCTGGGTGCCTGGGCTGCCCCATCCCTCCCCAGGAGTAGAACTCAGCATTCATCTCTTTGTCATTAATTGGGAAAAAAAAAAATAAAAGTACCTGAAAGCACTATTTTGGTTCTTTACTAGCATCCCCTGCACTCCGGACCTTTCACACTTTGGAGCTGCCAGCTGTGCCAGTTCTGCATGGGCTGGGGAAGGGAGCTGCACTCCCAGACACTTGGCCAAAAATTCCACAAACTGCTGGGAATGTTGTACCTCAGCAACATCTTCAGAGAGGTCTGCAAGTATTCACGCTTTTCAGATTTTCTGCTGTGCAATAGAGATTGGAGCGCGGTCCTTCCACTGGTTAAAAGTGGTCTCTAAGCAACAAGCCCTGAAATGTTTTCAAATCTTTTTTTACTTGACCCAAGATTTGTGCTGAGTTAGATGAGTAAATACTGGCATGATGTGACATTCGTGTTATTTATGTTAGATCCAAATAAGTGGAAGATAACCTAGGCAAATTTCCATTATCTAATTATAAAAACCTTCTCATATTCCCATGAAACTAATTTTAATTTGATGAAAAACAGACAACTTGGAAATGGATTTCCTACGATTCAAGTGATAAGATTCCTTCTCAGTATGTTCTCAATTTACCAAAGGCTCCAAAATTGGAGATCTCTATTAATAAAGATTGCTGCTTGCTCATGCAGTGACTTTATGTTATTATAAAAAAAATAATAATAAAATAAATAAAAGGAAAAAACATTGCTAGATTTAGCAGCTCCTCTGCTGCACTGGGGGGGGGAAGGACTGCCTTTTGAGAGGGAGCTGAAGTAGGCTGAGTTGCCCCATGCAGAAAACAGGTGAAGCTCCTGCTTTGTCTCAAGCTACTCGTGCCCTGTGATTGCCGTGTGAATTTCCAATGTCAATAGCAAAAAAATCCACAAAAAGTTGTCTATGGAGCACTGAAAAATATAATTACAGAAAGCACGTTATAATTGTTATCTGCAGGCAATTAAGCACAATGGAAACAAATTGTGTTTTGATCCTTACATCCTATTAAAGGTCACAAACTTGCAATGCCCTAGTCACGAAAGTGCCATAGCAAAATTTGTTGCATGGGTAAATAGTTACCCTACAGACTACCAGAGCCTCTCCTGATACTTCTGCCATACAACAGAATGTAAGGTGACCATAGATAAGGAGCAGCAGGAGAAACCTCAGCTCCATGGCTAACGTGCAGCCGCTCAGGCCCAGGTCTGACCACTTTTCCTGAGAACTAAGCCACACCGAGCCACACCACCCCCCAATTTCCTGCAAAATCTAAGAGGAAGATCAATTTAACTAATGATGTGGGGGTTCTGTGTCCCCGTGGACCTCACACATATTATTTATAGAATGCATTAATATTTCATCTTTCCCATCCCTAAACAGTCTTTGAGGGAAGAAAAAAAAAAAAAAAAGAAGAAGAAAGAAAAAAAAAAAAGATAGCTTGAGACAGGTAACATTTTAATTGAAATTAATGGGATTGGTTTGATTTCACCTCTGAGAATATAAAAATCATTCATTTTTTTGTCATGAAAAGAATCTTAAATCTCCCCGGTACCTTGACAAGCACGACGAATGGTGGGTCGCAGAGAGAATCCACCTCCCGCCTGTCCCTAACCTGTTCTATCCAGATCATCATCAGTTAATAAGAAACCAGCAAGAAAAAAAAATGCATAGGATGTGAAAGTGTACAGCTAAACCTGTGTTTTTTCTTCCTTTTTTAATATCAGTGTTGGTTCTGCGATCAGGTGGCACGCGGGCAGCTGTAGTGCAATCTTTTCAGCGCTGCCTGTCGATGGCTTTAGCCTCTGACCGGAGCAGTACGTAGAGGAGGTCTTTATGCTACCTCTGTGCTCAGCTAGACCTGGGCTGCTAAACATGCCAAATTAATGTGCGACACAGATTGTTGTTCTCCAAAGACTTTGCTGAAACGCTGTTGGACTGTTTACAAGAGCTTTGCCAAATCGCTGCAAAACTGAAGTATTACCAAAAACGAGAGTGCTGGCCAGTGGCAGGAATCATTTCATTACGATCCTTTTATTCATCCTCCAAACAGTCACACATTGCCAAAGTAGACACACAAAC